GTCCCAGAGGGTTAGAGTCCCAGATAAGGACGGGATGCGGGTGTCATCCCCCCTGGTTGAAAAGGGGTGCGGGTTTTAATGTTTTTATCTTTTTTAATATATTTTTAAAAAAATCTCTTTCTCTTTCTTACTGTTTATTCAATGTGACATACTGTTTTTTAATTATGTAAAGCACCTTGAAATGCCTTCCTGCTGAAAGGTGCTATACAAAAAAAATTTGATTGATTTATTTAACTTTTTTTTTTTTTTATTCATTGTACTTTGACAATTGCAAAACCTTAAGATCCACACTGTCAATGTCTGTGATTGTTTCTTTTTTTTAATATATATAATATTGTGATATTTATCTTTGTGTGAAAGATCCTCTGTATGTTAATGCTATTTGTTTTGAAATAAAGTTTTAAAAAAAAATCCAACGCTGCAGTGGGACTTCCAATACAATACTGCCACCTTGTGGCCTTTTTCTTTAACGGCATGAAATGTAATAAATACAACTAAATATTCCTTTATTACCGTATTATCCTGCTTCATTAACTGAATACGATCTGAATTATTACATTGAGAGATTTCTTGTTAAATCAATCAGAATAAACCAAAAATGTTTAAGGTACAATAGGATTCTCATTTGTCAAAAATAATATAAAAATAAGGTGTCATATATTTTTCCAAGTCAGTTTTTCTGAGTTGTCTTATTTTAATTTACCTCAGGAAGCTGCAGCAAACTAATTTAACCTGATCCTCAATAATATCAGTGACGTCATTAGTGAAGGTTATGACAGTAATTTACCTCCAGTTGTCTTTGCTCTGACTTTATTTCTTTTAAAGAACAAATGTTGTTGGAACATTTACTAATTTCAGAGAATATTTTATCTAACAAAGTGATCCGTAATTATTTTTCCAAAGTTTAGCTGAACTGATGCTAAAACCTGATTCTTGTTTAAGAGTGTGTTACATAACAGATTCAGATTTATTACAATCCCGAATGGGAGATTAATGAATATAAATAGTTTCATATCATAAATACTCTGAGGACAGAAGGTTGGATCAGATGGGATTTTACTGGCAAACAGAAACAAAGCGCTTTGCTCCTCTGGTTTGTCCTGAATGGGTAATTAGAGCAAATCTCAAGTTATCCTTTGAACATATTTTATAATACTTTTCAAAAAGCACCGGATTGTATGATTTACCACAGCAGAGCGCGAAACAAACCAGGGACTTTCCGGTTTCCTAACATATTTACAGCCAACCAGAAGAGGGCGCTAAAACACACCCACCGCATTATAACTGCGATACATATTTTAGCAGGAATTTAGCTATATTTATAATACTCTTTGCATAAACACGCATAAAAACTAAGAACGTATGAAAAGCTAAAAAGTAAAAACAATAAAAAGACATCAAATATAAATCAATACATGATCTGTACAGAAATGTTATCATTTTCGACTGACAACAAAAATCATAATCAACCAACAGCCCGGCATGAGGCGCTTCCCTTATTGCAACATGTTACATAGTAGAATGATTACTTATGAGTTAGTTAATAATGAGGCTGGTTCGACTGGTGGAGGGAGAGATAAACACACAGACAACCACACAGCGCAAAATTATTGAAGTGTGTTAAATATTTATAACAATACACACAAATAAGTACTTTAAATTGTCCATGAAATACCAGAAATGCTTTTTTCCCCTCCTTTATCAAAGGCAACATTTAACCGTTCAGCTGAGAGGAATGATGGGAACGGATCCAAATTCAGTTTGGTTCCGTGCAGAGTGAGGATGAGGAGAATACCTCCGACCAGACTGGAAGGAGCTGCAGGGATGTGACGGTTCTTTTGGTTCAGTGGGTGGTTAGCTCGTCTGGTCCACAGGGAAACAGACATCAGAACTGGAATCCAGATCAGGAATCAGGATCTGGAGCAGGAACAGAACGATGGCCTGTGTAAAACAGACCAGTTCCCACTTAGCAAAGCGCGTTACCAGGTGAATTTTTTTTTTCCCAGTCACACATCAGACCGGGAGTCTCCCACCGAACCGGTGAGCAGCAGCCGTACGGCTGATCATGTGACAGGAAAACCGCGTGAGGACCGACTCACTGAATGGTCTTTGTTCTCGATTGATTTATTTTTGTGCTTAAAGGAAATTAAGAAAATTAGATCTTTCTAAAATAATTATTTAAGTGTAACGGGTAAGTGTAACATAAGCTTGTGAAATAAATAAAAGAAGTGAATCTAAAAGAAATGGTAAAAAAAAAAATCCCTGCATTGTCCTGCATTAAAAAGACAAAATGCTTTACGAACACAAAAAAAGTTGTACTGAGGACTGGAACTGGAAATCAGCTTGTAAAACTGTCAGAATGTCTTTAGCTTTTCTGTTTATTAATCAGTTCTGTAAGTGTGTATTGTTCAAATCCTAAGATCTTATTAAATATACATGTATTACTCTGCTAAATGCATTTCCTGACCTAATATTAAGATTTCCAAAACAACAGAGGATTAAAATGGTCAGCACAGATTCAATAAATGATCTATAAAATAAGATCATCATTGACCTGAAGCCTGAAGCTTTCTTAGTGAAAACAATTTTTATTTAATTATTGGTCACATCATAAATACAGGACTTATCTTTATTTTTAATATTATTATTATTGTCGTTTTTAAGCATGAAGTTTAATTATTTGTCTATCAGTAAATCATGCAAATATTATTTTATCTCGGCCATTTTGTGCTCCGAAAACATCACTTAGGCCGCCAGGCGTCGGGGTTTTATTTTGTAGGCCCCATCCGGCGGTGAGCGGAAGTGTTGTGTCTACTGTGAGAACTTGACGCGCGCTGTTCTGATTGGAGGATTACGTTTGTGCTGAAGTGCGACCAATCAGTGAAGAGATGGCAGGTATAAATCCCCGACGCTCCTGTTTTGACGCATCCTTTCCTCCTGTTTGGTGAGGGCGAAGGTGTATTTGATCGAAACAAGATGTCTGGACGCGGAAAGACCGGTGGCAAGGCCAGAGCTAAGGCCAAGACCCGCTCGTCCCGTGCGGGGCTCCAGTTCCCCGTGGGCCGTGTTCACAGGCTGCTGCGCAAGGGGAACTACGCCGAGCGCGTCGGTGCCGGAGCTCCGGTGTACCTGGCTGCGGTTCTGGAGTACCTGACCGCTGAGATCCTGGAGCTGGCCGGGAACGCCGCCCGCGACAACAAGAAGACCAGGATCATCCCCCGCCACCTGCAGCTGGCCGTGCGCAACGACGAGGAGCTCAACAAGCTGCTGGGCGGCGTGACCATCGCTCAGGGAGGCGTCCTCCCCAACATCCAGGCTGTCCTGCTGCCCAAGAAGACCGAGAAGCCGGCCAAGGCCAAGTAAACGTCCGCAGCCCGAGCGACAACCCAACGGCTCTTTTAAGAGCCACCTACTTCCGTCTGAAGGGTCAAAGTTTCTAGAATTCACTTAAAATGCATAAGGTCTGAGATGGGTTAAA